GATCTCTCTCTCTCTCTCTGTGTGTGTGTGTGTAATGAGATTGGAAGGAGTGGAAGGCGTAGGAGAAGGTGGAGGAGGGGGAAGGGGTCAAGTGGAGTTAGAAGCAAAAGATAATTCAAGGCATTCTTACTTTTGGTGAAATAAACAATGATTTCCTGAAACTATCATCAAAAGTCCATTGGGTTAACGTGCATATCTAAAGTAGGGATGGTAGCAGGGATAGACGACGTGAAGTTGACAATCAACTGCAATACCGACTTCAAATTTCACTGATGGCGGGGTGGTTGTATGATGAGGCAAAGGATACCTTCAATGTTGGACTCTTACATGGATGCAAATTCCTCATGGCGCAATTAAAAGATGGTGCTAGTGACGCCAAGATCTATCAGCATGGCGTAGATTTTTACTTGGCCTACCTTGTTGTGGACAGCCCATAACTTATCTTCAACATTAATGATGACGAGTAATTTATGTGGGAGACCCCAGTTTGAGACCCATTCGATATTCGTCCATGGAATGCGAAACTGTGAAAAGCGTCAGTCTGAGTAACCTAAACAACATGTATTTTGAAACGATTGCGTGTATGTAGAGAGAAGATCGTTGGGGATGGAGTAAGTCACACTACAACACTATGACCAGGCACATTGTTGAATATCCTGAGGTGTTCATACAGAAAAGTGTAAAGTGAGATAACCACTGGGGTGCACTTCGGGGTCATTGTAGTCATATACCAAGTCATTGATGAACGAATTATTAAAGCAGCGCGTTGAGGTGGATGTGGAGGGCTGAATGAGTAGTAAAGTGGCTGCAAGAAGACTTCAAAGAATGCTCGTTTGTGCAGTCACCTAAGTGCGAACAGACTATCAATTCTCGGTGGGTCAGGTCTGGACATCCGCATTAAAATTACGAATTCCCGAGTTTAGTGACTCCAAGTTTTGTGCAAATCTGTCTAATTCACATTTCACAGCTTCATGCTCACCAATCTAAATCCACTTGTGACTTTGCTTACACAATTTGTGTTGCTTCTACTCCAAAATAAATGCTTCAACTTCACATTTTGTGAATATTTGGTAGTGCCTCCTTTGTGATCGAGTTTACCTTCCTAACCGACCGCATTGACATCTGAATGCGATGACTGCTGACGAAAGCACTTCAAATGCGTGGCTCTGTTCAGCCAATCAACATGCGTCTGTCTGGCACACACACCTACCTTTCATCTTCGTTTGGGTGTGATGGTGGCGCCACTAAAAACGAACGGTACTTGTGGTGTGAGATTGCATTCTATCACCTCATGCCTCCAAGTAACATTTTCCTCGCTGTCTTCGCCTGCATCATTACAGCTCTTGTTATCACGCTCCACGTTGTGTTAATCACATAGAACATGATGGCAGGGTCGAATTACACTGCCAGGTGTTTGATTTATGCCAGTAGTGCTATCACTTAAAACCAACTTGGTATTCTGCATTGCCCAACAGCGCCTGAAGTGGTTCTGTAAATTATACAGCTGCTGGTTGGCGATCTTGAAGCAAGCTTACCTCCAGTTGCTTGTGCAGCTACCAGTGGCACATGATCAAGCATTGCAATTACTGTGGTTTTGATGGTGTGTGTACTGGGTGTCCAGAAAGGGGTGAGCATTCGTGGTATAGTCCTCACAACTCACGTTCATCTGGAGGCGCAATGGGTGCGGTATGGCTAGATTTTCCCCTGAAAAGGGGAGAATGTGGGTCCACTTCTCATTTGCGAGGTTAATTTTCTCATTAAAAATGATGTAGTTGAGCACCATTTCTTTTACTCGTGACTTTACCGGCTAGATCACACCGTTCTCCCTTCTTGTTTCACCCAAGTG